CTCTCCCTCATCCGTTACAACTAAAAACTCTGGACAAAATACAAACAGCAACCAACTTCAGAATCTGAAAAGCAAATAATGCCCAGTGGATTTTGGAAGTGAGGGTAGTAAAAACTTGAAGAAACAACCCCAGCGGGGCTGAGTTTCCTGGTTTAATGAAGGACACAAGTTACTAAACAAAATTCAATTGTATTTTTATATACTATCAAACAATTAAAAATCAAAAAATTTTAAACAATACCATTTATAGTAGCACTAAAAACATGAAATACTTCGGTATAACAAAATATGTGCAGGTTCTGTATGCTGAAAATTATAAAACATTGATGTAAGAAGTTAAAGAACATCTAAATAATACCAGACCTGGTACTAGTTCTTTTTTTCTTTTTAAATTATTTATTTTATTTATTTTTGGCTGCACTGGGTCTTCGTTGCTGCATGTGGACTTTTCTCTAGCTGCGGTGAGTGGGGGCTACTCTTCATTGCGGTGCGCGGGCTTCTCATTGCGGTGGCTTCTCTTGTTGCGGAGGACGGGCTCTAGGCACATGGGCTTCAATAGTTGTGGCATGCGGGCTCAGTAGTTGTGGCTCACGGGCTCTAGAGCACAGGCTCAGTAGTTGTGGTGCATGGGCTTAGTTGCTCCACCGCATGTGGGATCTTCCTGGACCAGGGCTCGAACCCGTGTCTCCTGCATTGGCAGGCGGATTCTTAACCACTGCACCACCAGGGAAGCCCTGGTACTAGTTCTTTTGCATATATTCTCTCATTGACTCTTCAGAGCCATTCTGTGTGGTAGTTATTATCCCCAGGCTCAGAAAGCGTATACGACTTACCTAAGGCCATATTATAAAAGAATTCATAGCAAGTTTATTTGTGATAGCCTCAAATTGGAAATAACTCAAATGTCCTTCAATGGGTGACTGGTTAAATACACCATGGTACATCCACACCATGCGTTATGACTCAGCAATAAAAATGAACAAACTATTGATACACACAAAAACCTGGAAGAATCTCCAGGGAATTATTCTGAGTAAAAAAAAAAGCCAATCCCCAAAAGTTACATACTAAATGATCCCATTTATACAACGTTTTTGAAATGAAAAAAATTAAAGAGATGGAGAATAGATTAGTGTTACCTGCAGTTGGGGATACAGCGTATGGGAAAGGAATGGGTGTAATTATAAAGCAGCAGCATGAGGGATGTTTGTGATGATCAAACATTTCTAGGTATTTATGGTGGTAACATTGCCCTAATCTACACGTGACAAAATTGCATAGGCCTATATACATACACAAATAAGTGCATATAAAACTGGTGAAAACTGAATAAACTCTGTGGATTACATCAATGTCAATTCCCTGGTTTTGATATTGCACTACAGTTATGTTACCACTGGGGAAAACTAAGTGAAGTCTGCACTCTTTTTGCAATTTTCTGTGCATCTATGATTATTTCCAAATAAAAAGCTTTTTTAAAAAAAGTATTGGGGCTTCCCTGGTGGCACAGTGGTTGAGAGTCCGCCTGCCGATGCAGGGAACACGGGTTCGTGCCCCGGTCCGGGAAGATCCCACATGCTGCGGAGCGGCTATGCCTGTGAGCCATGGCCGCTGAGCCTGCATGCCCGGAGCCCGTGCTCCGCAACGGGAGAAGCCACAACAGTGAGCGGCCCACGTGCCGAAAAAAAAAAGAAAAAAAGTATCTAGGCTTCTGTTCCACAACCCCCAACAGTGTGCCATCAAAAGACAACAAAATCTCTGTCTGAAAGAGTCTGGAAATCATTACTGGAGCTCTCGTTTCACAGGCATGGTCTGCAATCCACTGCTTGTCTTCTTTAATCAACATTTACTGGGCTTCCCTGGTGGCGCAGTGGTTGAGAGTCTGCCTGCCAATACAGGGGACACGGGTTCGTGCCCCAGTCCGGGAGGATCCCACATGCCGCGGAGCGTCTGGGCCCATGAGCCATGGCCGCTGAGCCTGCGCGTCCGGAGCCTGTGCTCCACAACGGGAGAGGCCACAACAGTGAGAGGCTCGTGTACCGAAAAAAACAAACAAACAAACAAAAAAAAACATTTACTGAGTGTCAGCTGGGAGTCAGGCCTTGTGTCAGAAGTTAAGTGATATGAGATGAATGATTTATCATGCATTCCCATGGGAGCTCCCAACTAGTGCTAATAAAAATGTCTAATATGATAAAAGCATTGGACTAGGAAGTCAAAAGAATTTTGTCCTCCTGGAAACACTTACTAGGTTTTTGATTTTGGACCAATCCTTTGCCTCTTGGTATCTTGATTTCTTAACCTGCAAAATTCAGAATAGAATGCATGTAAATATATATTTTAAACTTAACCTGAGTCCTCCGGATGGGTTCAAGGCTATCTGAAATTACCTGAAATTGTATGCAGAAGTATGTAAGTGCATCCTTCTTCTAGGAAGAGGTATTATTTTTTAAAAAATAGATTTTGGGGGCTTATAACTGAAACTGATTTTGGATTTAATCTCTGAGGTCCCTTCCATCCTAACATTCTACAATTCTAGTAGAACTCTAAGATGTCTCCTTCTATCTCCAATGTTCTGTGATTCCAATAGGGATGGAAGAAATGGGCTAGAGCTCTAACACTCGTGATTCCCAGTACCACAAGAGTTCGTTCCCTTCTGCAAGAGGACGATTCAATTTTTCAACATGGAATTCTAGGCTCTTTATGATTTAACCTCTAATTGACCTTCCAACCTCAGCTCTTATCCCTTCCCCAGACCTCACCTCAGCCTGCAGTTTCCACAAAGCTTTGCTCCCATTCACTCTGTGCCTTGGTACAGACAGTGCCTTCTACCTGGAATGCCCCCAACGCCACCGTTTTTCTTCTTGAGTCTAGGCTTAAAGGTCCCCTCCTGAGTGAAGACTTCCAGGACCCCTCATCCTTACAGCAGGGTTTGGTGGGCTCCCTTAGCCCTGGATACCGACTGCCTATTACCACACAGGAAATAGGACTGTTGGTTCACTCAGGGCAGCAAACCCAACTGCCAAGGGGCCTGGCAGAGGAAGGAAAGGTTTGAAGCTTGTAGGTATGACAAACTCTAGGCCCCTGTTTTCCCACCTTTGAAAAGAAAATAGGGAAAAATATTGCCTCTAAGGAAAACGACAACCTGAGAGCAATAGTAAATGAACTCTTCTGAATGTTAATGTAACATGAAACAACATTCTATTTCAGAGAACAAGAGGGAATGGTGGGTGGGGATTGAACCTCACTGGAACACAGTATCTGTCTAAAGGAAGGAGACTCAGCTCCAGCTAATTGTTAACTGGCAGGAATGTGGGTGGGTCCGGTGCAGCCAGCTTGTCCACTTTTTCAAGAAAAACTGAAATCCAGACTTGCACGTGAAATCTCAATTTTTACATATTACTAACTAAAAACATTAAAGACCCACTGTGATGACTTTCAAGGTTTTCAGGCTGTGGAAACTGTTCTGTGAGGATCTACTTCAACCCATTTACAAGAGCACATCCTATGCGGGAGGCAAGTTTTATATCAGGGCCACTGGTGTGTTGATGGCTGTTAAAGAGGCCCACTCATTCTGCATAGAAATCAAAGGTACTGCAAGGGTTATACAAAATCTTCATAAGGGACCCCTGTCTCTCCCTTAGTTTCCCAGTCTGTAAAATACATACAAAACATATTTGTGAGCCAGTTGTCAAAAAGAATATCACTTACCAAAGGGCTGTCAGAGCTACATGCTTTTACCTGCATCATCTCACTGAATTCTCATAACTACTAATGAGGTTTTTACTTAATGAAGACAAACAATTGAAAATGTTTTACTTAATGAAGCAATTTACTTAATGAAGACAAACATTTAAAAAGCCCTTTCTTTACAAAGTCTTCACTATTTAATCCTCTCCGCAACTCTGGCCTAAGGCAAATAAACCCTTCGGGGATTCCCCCAAGGCAACCTGACTCCAATAGGGTAGCACAGTTTTACCGTTCAACGAATGTATAATGAAAACCATATACGTAATGTAAAATTTTCTAGTAGCCACATTTAAAAGTAAATGACACACGTGAAATTAATTTTAATTATATATTTTATTTGACCCAATATATGCAAAATACTACCAATCCAACATGTAACCAATATAAAAAATTACTGAGATATTTTACATTTTTTTTTCATACTAAGTCCTGGCTGTATTTAACATTACATCACAACCCAATTCCCACTAGCCACATGTCAAGGGCTCAGTAAGCATATGGGGCTAGTGGCCACTATATGAGGCTACGCATTTAGTCTATTTAGGAATCCTTAAGTTAAAAGCAAAACCCACAGAGCCACCTGTCCCGTGGTTTCAGAGGCCACGCCAAAAAAACAAAATCGTAATGGCAAAAAGTTCTTGAGCATTTACTTTGTGCCATAAAAAGGGCAACTTTTACTACGTGTGTTGCAGATCTTACACACGTTATCTTGTGTCATCCTCGCCACAAGGCGGGTGTACTGCCCTCCTCTTTTGAGAGAGCGAGAGAACTTTCCCGAGTTGGGCCCTCCTCCGGCAACCCGACCGCCGTCCCGCTCCCGCCATCCGCCGGGCGCCAGCCCCCGGGAGCCATTGGTTCGCCATCATCCTAATCAGGGTCAAGTAAGGAGGCGCGCACGCAGGGGCAGACGCAGGTCACCTGCAAGCCGAAGCGATCTAGGCGGATAGGGACCCTTCTGGGCCCCTTCTCCTTAGGCTTGGGCTTGCGCTCGGGCTTGGGCTTGAGCGGCGGCTCCGGCACCGACTCCTCCTCCGACCCCTCCTCCGGCTCCTCCTCCGACTCTTTGACTTCTCCTCCTCGAACTGGTGCTCGTAGGCGCCACCAGCCGGAGCCAGCCATTGCGCGCTTCGACTGGTCGGCGGGCCGCCGGTAGCCACAGCCTCCTGCCGGGACTCAGGAACGCGAGGGGGCGCCGCTTCCGGGAGCCCGGACTCAGCTTCCGGACGCTCGCGCGCCGAGCTCACCATAGAGAAGCCAGCCTGGACGCCCACTTCCGGCCGTCCCAGGCGCTTTGCTGGCGCTGGTAGGCTTGGGGCCCCCACCGCCCCTCTCCCTCAGGGTCGCGCGGGCTCCGCCCGTTAACGGAAACGTCTCCCTCTTCACCCTGCCCCCTAGCAGACGCAGTGCTGCGCCCACAGCTGCCGGACAAAGAGTGACGCCCGGAGTTGGAGTCATGGCGGCAAGTGAGCCGAGCTTGGCAGTAACCGAGAGCCTCGCGCCGCTGTCGGGGAAAGAGGAAGGGGCCAGCTTGAGCTCAGGCCCGGAGCGTAATTCTACGGGCTTCTCCTCGACTCCTGAGACCCCACCGCCTGCCCCCGAATCGTCCAGCCTCAACGCCGCGGTCCCCGAAGCGAATCCTACGTTTCCCGCGGCGGCCGCCGCCGCCGCCCTGGAGCTGCCCCTCGGGCCCGCACGCCTGGCCTCCGCGCCGTTTGCCGAAGCCGCTCCGCGATCCCCCCCAGGCCCTGGCGGCTCCCGGCCCGGCCCGGAGACGTTCCGCCAGCGATTCCGGCAGTTCCGCTACCAGGACGCGGCAGGCCCTCGGGAGGCGTTCCGACAGCTGCGGGAGCTCTCCCGCCAGTGGCTGCGGCCCGACATCCGTACGAAGGAGCAGATCGTGGAGATGCTGGTGCAGGAGCAGCTGCTCGCCATCCTGCCTGAGGCAGCGCGGGCCCGGCGGCTCCGCCGCCGCACGGACGTGCGCATCACCGGCTGAGCGGCAGAGCTGCGGGCGGCCCGGCCCGGGCGCTCGCTGGACTAGAGCCATGATCAGATCCGAGGCCCTGAGCCTGGCTCCCCATTACGCGTTAATGAAAAATGAGTTTTGGCAGTTCCTGCAGTCTCGTGTGTCCTTTTCGTTCGTCCTTTACCGTGCTTATTTTCCCGAGCCTATTTCCAACCTCCTTTCTGGCTGGTGGCGAAACCAAGTTGGGAGTCCATGAGAATAAAGCCTTTGTTTCTCATTCACGTGGCCATCGTTGGCTTTTGTGGGATCATTATGTGTTGGTTAGGCCTGGGCCGCCACATCTGGGAAAATTTTTTCCTGCGCATTCCCCAGCGTCGCACTTGGGTTTCCTTTGTTTTGTGGAGTCTATGTAATGAGGGCTCCAGCAGCCTGTGTTCCATCGTCGCTCCTACCTCTCACTAGCTAGAATTTGAGCTTGTTTTCCTACCTAAGAGAACAGATGACAGTGTTCTGTTGTCTTGTAGATGGCGGTGGGTCGTGCCGGCAAATAGCTGGCTCTACTAGGTGCTTATTTAACTGGCTACTGCTATACCAATGCTGCCACCAGCTTGCTCCATCAGCCTGCCCTTTGGGCACAGACTTCCCCAAAGGCCCAAGTTATAGGGCTATTTTAGTAAGTGTTTAGTGCCGGCGTTTACAGAGATAGGCTAGTTCTTGTTTGTGAGCTCTGGCTTAAGCCTCTATACTCACCTTTCTCACCAAATTTTAAGGCTCTTGAAAGATTTAAGGAGCATATCTGGTGTGAACTAATGGATTGCTACTCACTTTAATGTCTCTCCAACTGCCTCCCTTAACTTTTTTAATAAGCATAATTGTTTAGGAAGGGAAGAAGCAACGTGGCAAGAACAGGGAAGCTCTGCAGTATAACCTTAGAGCCTACTCCATTCCTTGAGTCTTACGCACACCCAGGAAGGAGCTGATTGGGGTTCATAGGCCGTTTGGCTTGCCCTCAGAAGGGTCCTAATTGCAGTGGGTGCCATCTTTTAATATAAGGAAGGCCAGACCTATTTTCCCTGCACTGCTTTCAACAATCAAAAATTGAATAGTCCTGCAGCTCACATCACAAAGCATGAGCCGGACTGGGCTAGAGGGTGGTGTGGGGCATTTTACTTTTGAATATTAAAGACACTTAAATGAATTCAAAAGTATTTTGCATATTTCCTTGGGATTTTGGATTTAAGCCTGCATCTGCCTCCCTGCAGAAGATACGTCTACTAAGAATGTAAAAGCAGACTTCCTTTAAAAGGTAATGTTTATAGAAAATTAATGCACATTAAAAACAGGATAGATGGGACTTCCCTGGTGGTGCAGTGGTTAATGAGAATCTGCCTGCCAATTCAGGAGAGACAGGTTCAAGCCCTGGTCCTGGAAGATCCCACATGCCACGCAGCAACTAAGCCCGTGTGCCACAGCTACTGAGCCTGCACTCTGGAGCCCGCAAGCCACAACTACTGAGCCTGTGCCACAACTACTGAAGCCTGCATGCCTAGAGCCCATGCTCCGCAACAAGAGAAGCCATTGCAATGAGAAGCCCGTGCACCGCAACAAAGAGGAGCCCCCGCTCACCACAACTAGAGAAAGCCTGCACACAGCAACGAAGACCCAATGCAGCTAAAAATAAATATAAAAAGAAAAATAAATTTTTATTAAAAAAATAGGGTAGGGCTTCCCTGGTGGTGCAGTGGCTGAGAGTCCGCCTGCCGATGCAGGGGACACGGGTTCGTGCCCTGGTCCGGGATGATCCCACATGCTGTGGAGCGGCTGGGCCCGTGAGCCATGGCCGCTGAGCCTGTGCGTCCGGAGCCTGTGCTCCGCAACAGGAGAGGCCGCAACAGTGAGAGGCCTGCATACCGCCAAAAAAAAAAAAAAAAAAAAAGGGTAGGTAACTATAACAAATGACTGAAATGTAGCAACAAAAACCTGTTTTATTTTTTCCAAATACAGATACAGAAGTTTGCATGTTTTGCAAATATTGCTTCAAAGCAACATTTCTATATACAGCGCCTTCTGTTCTAATAGCGCGTAAACATAGATATGTATCCACAGTGCAATGTTGGCTCATCAAGGGTCCACCTTGCATACACTCATCACTTAAACAAAATGATTAGTCAAACCAGAACTGTTTTTGTCAAGGCAATTTTTTTAATAGGTGGATAGTTTTTCTCAAAAGAAAACTTAGGTAGTGTACATATTTCTAAATGGTAACAGTAATATTTGCAAATAACAGTTTCCAGTGCTCCAGCCTGGGGTTAATTCAACTTGACCCAGGAATTGGGGATGGAGCCCCTCAACATGGCTTTAAATTAGGGAAGCACACTGGGGTTATCAGAACTTGGAGTCACCCCCTGCTTCCCTAAGGACAAAGGTCACAATGAGTGAAATGGGATTATTTCCTTTACAAAAAGCATACAGTAAACTCAGTAATGGCCACTTGGCAAAATTAGGGTAACTCAGTTTCTTCTTTCATCTTGAAAAAGACATGAGATTGACTCCCTTAAAGTTACAGCTTCCCCAGAAGTTATGCTCAAATGTGTTTTCAGGAAAGAAAAATCAGTAATCTAATAATAAGTCACCATACCTCACAGTTGTGGCTACAGAAAATCATCCTGTTTCTTCCCCTTTCAGACAAGCTTCACACAGTTCTTATAATGTGGCCGTCTGATAAATTATGCAAAACACAGATGCCGTGCATACTCCTTGAGCATTTCTTCCCACACCAGAAACACCAACATTAGCAATAGGAAACCACCTCTTACAGAGGAATTGTGTCAGCTTTATTACAGATGTCATAGCCACATGTATTCCCTCTGATGGATGAGCTACAGCAGGTCAACTTGTCCTAAATTCATTTTATATCAAATGGTGAGTTAAATTACTAGACAAAGCATACCTTGAAACAAATCTTGCTACAGAGGGCTTTGTGACCGCAATGACCTGTACCTTAAAGCCTAACCATCCCAAAGGTCACCGGAGATACTGTCATTGCTATTGAGATATTGGCTACTTCACGTTTACATAGTAAATATTTGCAGCATATAACATTACAGATTCATAAACCCATAATTAACTTGTGAGTGTTAATGGACAGATGTGCTTTGATTTTTGCCTTTAGTGATAGGAAAACTAAATGGTAAAATGGGTCACTCCTCAAAGCATGGAACATTTTCTTTAACTTTGCCTAGTAAGGAAAAAGAAAACAATTACACGTGGAACCGTAACCTGGAAGAGTAACAAATATTGTCTCAGAAGGTACAAACTGTACCTGGACCTTAAGCAGCATAATCACCTTGATCTCACAAAATAATACGAACAGGAAATTTAAAGTGTTAAAGTATATTAAAACAATTCTGAAAATGCCAACTACTGAACATATACCCTTCGGGGAAGGAGAAAAGCGGCAGCAGATGTAGAATCTGGTTTGTTTACAACAATACAAAGTAAGGTAATTCCCCAAACCACATTCTTTGTAACAAATCTTTACAGTGAGAGTTCAAATTTGGGGGAACCATTTTTTGGACATTAAATAGAACTGGTAAGCTGTCAAGAAGTGGGTAGAAAATGCTGTCCTTTGGGTTCCAGACCCTGCCTGCTTCAGTTTGGAATTCCTCCTAGATTCTTATTACAGTGAGATTCTAGTTCTTCCACAGGCTGTATGGGTTCTGCTACAAAAGACACAACCCAGCCAATTCTGGGGTGAAAGCATACAAAACTTGTCCCCGGTACCATGAAGTCATGCAAGAGAGGTGGTGAGAAAGTGAAGAGTTCTAAGAAGACAGGGCGGCCAAGGCCTCTGCTCCTTCCCAACCTCCACAGAACGGTGAAGTCACGACATTCCCACGAAGCTGGAAAAACGAAAATGATGCCTGCTGCCTAAATTCATGCCAGGCAGAAAACCAGAAGGCTTGGCATGTGCCCCAACCTGACAGAAAAGTCAATTAAATAAGCTGCAAGTTGAATTTACAACTGTTTCCGACTAAACTTTTTTGGCTCTCATTCCATTTATCATCAGTGGCACGATTTCAAGTGAAGTTTGTGCAAAAAGACTCACTCTCCATTCAACAATGTGCACAGAAGAAGGGAATCCCAAGAGTCTATTTGCTACCTTCTTGGTAGGCTTCGAGATCAGAGTGCCCTCCCTTCCAGCAGCCAAAACGGCCTCTTTGTCCATCACACCCCTGCCCAGATCCCTGAAGTCAGTCGGTGTCACGTGCATTCGGCATGCTAGGTTTATTTATTTAAATACGTGAAGCTCCTCCTGCAGGTGCCCCGGGATTGTGCCCCCATTAGTGTGGGGTGCCCAGTTTCACGTTGAGCAGCAGAGTGCGATCTGTTGCACCTTGCCCAGGTCCGTCAGCAGCTGCTTGATGCAATGCTTGAGCTGCGGAAGCCTGGCCAGAGGCTCCGGGGGCTCCAGCTCCCCAGTGTAGTCCAGCCAGCTCTCCAACACTGTAGGCAGAAGAGAGAGGACCCGGTGAGTTCTCAACACCTGATCTGCAAGAATGTCAGCAAGAATGTCAGCACTTTATCCCACCTAACCACTCATGGGGGGCGGGGAGGGAGGTCCATTTCAGGCAACACTGCCTCATCACCCTCTCTGCAAAGTATTACTCCTAGGACAAAGCTCAAATGCTGTAGAGCAGTGCAGTCCAACAGAACTTTCTGCAATGACGGAAATGGGCTATGTCTGTATTGTCTAATATAGCCACTAGCCATATGTAGCTACTGAGTACTTAAAACGTGGCTAGTGCAACTGAGGAACTGAATTTAAATTTTATTCCATTTTAATTAATTTAAATAGCCACACATAGCTAGTGACTACTGCATTCGTGCAGCTCTGTAGTCTAGCCGGCTTGGAAGGACCCACCTTTCTCAGTGTTACCGCCCCATCTTTATAAGGCTTTCCCATGTTGAAAATCAGACAGCCTGGCGTTTTAGCCTTCTGTTAAGAAAAATTAGAATCTAAAGGGACTTGAAATGGTCTATTTTTGTCTCCATAAATTCTGATCTGCTTCATATTGATTCCTATCATCAGTAGCACAGAGCACTCTGATTTTATTTTCTAAGTACTTAATGCAAAATGTCCAGATACTAACAAACTTGACTACAATTAGTTCAATATCTAAAAGCTGTCTTGCTTCTGAGAGCAGAAATTTCTCTATAGAAAGATATTTGTTCTTCCCCAAGCCACTCCCTCAAGCTCTGGCATTTGGGGAGGGGCCAT